AGGCTGAGGGCCTGCACCCAGGCGGGTACCACCGCGGCGCAGCTCGCCAGCCCCACTCTGTCCTCCACGTTCCTGTGTTGAACCCTAAGGCTGCTGCTTTCTCTCCCCGGTGCCAATTGTTTCTCCAAATATGAAGAAGCAAGGAAGGAACTTCACAGAGACGGGGCAATAATAAAACAATGAACGAAATTCAGCGTAGATCAGTGTGAAGTGCGGCACAGTCAGGGAGAACGACAAGGCGGACGTCGTGTACGAAGTAATGTGCTCTGACTGATCATTACCACGGAAATAAGATCCTGGGCTTGTTGGAATTGCCAGCTCGGCTGGAGACCGCATGGAGAACATCATTATGCCACCGATTAAAGCTGTGGCGCATCTGCACGTTGGCTGTCGTGTGCGCTTCGCGTGCGCGGTCCCTTCATTCCAGAAAAGGTAGAGTAGAACAGAAAAATGCAGTAAGGATGGACAGAAACCTGGAATAGCTTGCCTAAGCAGACCAACTAAGCAAGCCATGACTATAACCTGAAAAACAGACAGCTAAGGTGGGATCATAGGTGTCTGTAAAATCAGGAATGATGCGGAGAAGGCAACTGGGGATCAATTGTTTGCTCTGTCTTCCAGTGCAAGAACCAGGGGAGCTCTAAAGGCAAGTTCAAAAAAAAGGAAAGGAAGAGAAGTGCTTCCTCGCACAGTGCGTGTCTGAACTCCGAAGCTGCCTTGCTGCAGGTTCAAAAAGCAAAGTGGACAGACTTCTGGGGCGGTGCAGTAGGTGGTATCGCCCTGTATGACAGGTGGTGAGTTGAGGTTCCTGGGAACCACACACCAAATCTTGGTCGCCTCCAGTGGCTGTCTTAGGATCCAGACGTGGGATATCATCACTGCTCACATGGGCCTGCAGACCCCCATCATGCAGCACTATAAAAGAAGCTCTTCCAGGTTCTGCAAGCATTAAAAAATGGCAGATTTGGTAATCAGCAGTATTTTCTGGGTAGCAAGCAATAATTTACCTTTCCCTCTCAGTCCTCCCTCCAGATGGCAATGTGCTGGCCAGGTGCCTGTCCTCATCTTTTGCCTTAAGGGCAAAAGGGCAAAAAAAAAATTAAGGGCTTAAGCCTGATGTTGTTCCCAGACAAGTAATCCGTCCTCCAAGCTGAAGAGAAGCGTGCTGTCCTACCAAACTCCCAGCCAACCTGGGGGGCTGTGGCTGCCTGTCGCTGAGCTGCTCGTCAGTGTTGGTTGCCCTGCACCACAAAAGTGCTTCATTTTCATCGTTGTGGGCAAAATCTTGATGTAGCTTAATCTTTTCGCACGACTTTTAATCCCTTGGATTGAAATATTCTCATTTGCTCTGTACCTCAGGCCAAATGTTACTTGAGCATCAGTGTCAAACAGGCCAAAGTTTAATGCGCTTGGAAAGAACGGGTAGAGATGGAAAAAAATGCCATAAACGGCTTTGAGTCAATAGTGGGGTTTTTTAAGAATACTGTGACTTGAAGGATTTGGGAAAGGGTAGGTGAAATCTGGCGAGGGAATGATCCTGTGGGCGCAGGGTGACATGCATGTGACGGCCTTAGGTTTGATTTTTTTCTTTTAAACGCTGGGGACCAGGGGGAGCAGAGGCTGATCAAAAGGAAAATCAGGCCCTGAAAAATCTGCGCTTCTGCTTCTCTTGTCAACGTGACGGGCAGTTTTCAGCGTCGGAGCGCGTGGGTTCGGTGCTGCAGCGTTCAAGCGGAACACGGGCTGTCGGTTTGGGTTTGCTCGCGGGGCGTTGGAGACCCGAGGGCGCGTTGCCGGTGCGGTGGGTTTGGTCGCTGTCTGTCCCGCAGCAAGCTGGATACCAGTAAGTCCTGGATGGCAGTGGGGCTCTGACTGGGGCCTTCCTCACGGAGGGGAAAAATCTGTGACGAGGCTTGGCCTGTTATAAAAGCGCCTGCGGTCATCTTGACTCCGTCAGTGATCATGGGCCCTGAACGCGTCCGCGTTTTTCCTTCGTGCATAATGCTGCTTCATATTTAGGATTATTTAGCTTATCCATTACCTCAGTTGTCTGAGGACACACTGTAAAAAAAAAAAAAAACACCACCAACAAAACCAACTATAGACAAGGCATTTTAGGCTATGGGAATGACTTCAACGTGAGGAAAGCATGACTAAGGGCTGAGAGAATGCGCAGTGAAAATCACCCTCTTCAGGCTGAAGAAAATTCCCAGAAAAACCAGGCATGCGGGAAATGCCTGGCTCTTAACGTAGCGGGTCGGACAACGTTTGTGGGCAGAAAGCCAGCCCTCCGCCAGCGCATTGTGCGAGCACTGTAGTCCTTGTAGACTTGTCATTTCCCCGAAAATAGACACTTTTGGGGTGTATCTGATAGAAAATACAATCAAAGGACCTTGCTTTTCTCTCTCTCTGTCCCGGAGACCTATCTGGTCAGGCACATGTGCTTAATGACTTTACATAATTCGAATATGGAAAACCCCAGGGGTCTTTAAAGTAACCTGGTGGCGTCGTATCGGTGCCTTTCTGCTGCATCCACAGCCTCCCTGTGGGGCAGGTTTGGGCTGCTGTGGCCTGGGTGCGCTCTCAAGAAAGTGGTTTTTGAAATGTTACTTGAACAAGCGATGAAAGCTTGCAAAATATGATCTCCTTCTCCTCTTCAGAGCCGAGGAAGAGAGTAATCTCATGTTGTCAAACCTCCAGTTACTAATAAATCCTTTCTTGCGGTGCTGTTCGACCTAGCTGATGTCCCCGTCCCACTGGCGCAGCGGGGCGCTCAAACTCCTGTGCTGCTTCATCTCACTTCCCCACTCATTTTTGGTTTTCCTCATTTATTTCTGAATTCATTCAGCCACCACTTTGGTGCTTTTTAATCTTGGAAACAATCCTCCTAACGTGCCCTCGCCGTCCTGTTCCGCGCTCCCCAAAGCTGGCTCCCGAGGCACAGCCAGAGCCCTGCCACTTGTCCTTCGTTTCTGCTTCCTGCTGCTGTTCTCCCTTCGGGCTTTTGCAGGAGCAAACGAGTGGGAGATGCGTCCGTGCCCTTCTGCTTGAGAATTCATTCGTAATTTCGTACGGAAATGTTTCACAGTCGTTCACAATGCATTGCTGATGAGTGAGCTGTTCCTACAGAAAACGTACAGTATCGGGGTTCTGTTTCCAGTGAGGACTGGAGAAAGCACAACTGTTTGGGAGCTGAGTGAAATCCAGGCGTGGTGGCTTTTCCTCTACTGTAACGTGTGTTTTAGTGCAGATTTGATAAATATATTTCCTTAATCAGGACTTAAAAAGATTACGTAGGGAAGAAAAGAGAAGCTGCAGGTAGAGGATGAGTCTGCTGGCTCTGGCTGCGAGGGAGAAGAGTTGCACTGGGGGTGCAAGTGTGTCACCTGCTGCTAGATGTCTGCAACATCAAGGAAAGCATGATAAAATACATCCTGCAACGTGACAGAAACCGAATTATAAATAGGAAAGTCAACCATGGTAAGCACAGTAATAAAAATCCATCCGGTGAAGTAAAGGTGCAAGGATTTTTCTCCAGGAAGACACATTAACCTTTTATGGAGGTAGATGCGACCTTGGGAGAGTTTCATAAGATCAGAAGGAACAAGAAACGATCATCTGATAACGCTTCCTCGGGAAAGCAGGGCGTTCTTCCCTGTGAGTTTGGTGTTCTCCACGGGATGTGAATGACTCGGGCCACAACGTCAAAAGTGCACCCAGACCTGTGAAGGAATTACGTGCTGGAGGTGTGTGCACGTGGCTTTATGTTGTAGATCCCCGTTAAAATTCACGTCTGTGTAGTGGTTGGTTTTTTTTAATGAACGAGAAGTAGTACCAATGAATGACCTCGCACGTAATTTAGCGGTAAACTTAACTGGGCTTAACATTAAATTCCGCTCTCTGCTGTGCGATGTAAATCTGTGGGCTTTCCCTGAGAAGGGAATTTAGTTGAAAAGTTTTGTTAATACCGGTTTATTTTTAAGATGATATTAGTGTGAGTGTTTTTAAGCTGAAAAAAAAGCCTTTTCTTTCTGTTTGATCATTGCACTGCACGTGGGAACATAGTGGGGGCTAGGAGGGAAACTGAAACACTTGCATTTGCTTAGGCTTTCAGCC